TTTTGTTCTTTTTTGTGTTTTTTTTTTTTTTTTTTTTTTTTTTTTTGAAAAAAAGGGGATTGGAGTGGTTCATGAAAGGGGAAGAAGCCAATTCTTCAAACCAGCAAGGGTCTTTTTTCACAAGGCCACAAAGTGAAAGAGCCTTTGATTTTTATAATAATAACAACTACCAAAGTTTGCAATCTCAGGGGCTAAATGAGCAGTTTAGCTCATTGATTGACCCCAAATTGGTGCCTGGCCAAACAAGGCATTTCATTGACGCGTGGTCCACAAACGACAAGGTTCTTCCATATTCATCTCTCAGTTTGTCAATGCAAGGTGGAAATAATGGGACTACTAGTGAAGATAGTGAGAATTCCCAGATGGGTTTTGGGGTTGAAGGAGATAATTTGAAGTCTCAAATATGGTTGAACAATACAATTTCATGGAATGGATCAATTTCAACTTCACCACAACAACCGCAACCACAACCTGGTGGGCCATTGGCTGAAGCCTTGTGCCTTGGGATGGCTGGTTCCGCTAGACCAACAACAACATCCTCTAGAAGCTCATCTTGAGATGGTGATTATGATCAAAAGCTTTCCTTTTTTTGGTCAATTAAAGAAGTGAGCTCTTGTTATGTTGCAAATGATTGTTGAGGTAGCTTTTGACTTCTTTAGCTGGCAAAGGGAAAGAAAATTCTGTTGCTCTCTTTTATTCCTTTTGTTGCTTTATTTATTTTGTTGTCTGCGTATAACCGGATCTTGCTGTCGGTTGCTCTTATCTTTTTTTTTTTTTGGTTACTAAATCTTAATTCTTAGTTTTGCTCAAATGCCTCTATTTACAGCTTTCCATTACATGAATGATATCATAACAACTACAAAGAATTAGAGGACTTTCTAACAAGACTATTTGTATTTTGCTCCACTGAACAAAGGTTCTAATTTTGTTCGAATAGTAGGGGGTTTTTTTTTTTTTTTTTTTTAGTAATTGATTACTCTATTTCACGACAAAGATTGTTAGCATACTAGGTTGTTATCAACTTATCATCAGTATATTAGCATTTTATGACACGTGAATGCAAGCGGTGGACCATGTATATATCTCTGAACTAAATTACAAGCGTTCAATCCAAGAAATATTGACAAACAAACAAAAAAACGACAATGAATACTCACTAGTCACTACTCATCTAGTAGCGAGGAAAGCAGCGACATTACATATATATATATATATATATATATATATAAAGTTTCTACAACATTCTTATGTGACAGAATAACAGAATTTTCCTGCGACCAAACAAAAAAAAAATGTACGTGGCATTGAAGATGTTAATACTTTTATTATTATTATTTACTATTATTAAGCTCCTTTCCTTCACTTTAACCATCTGAGGTCAGTGGTTGAACAAGGGGAAACGTCTCTCCCAACAATGCTCTCAGCATAACAAGACGACAAATTCTCCAAACCATGATAATAATAGTCATAACACCCATTTTGCAAGCTCTTGACGCTAGGGCTCCTCAAGTGCTGCCCAAAGCTACTAGTACTACTGCCACACCTAATTCCAACACTGCCATTGTTGTCGTTTTTGTGTGGCTCGAGAACGACATTATGGTAAGAAAGCCGTTTTTTGACACCTCCTCGTGAGTGGTACTGCTCTCTTTCGGGCGTGGAGAGCCTCTGTCTAGGCGTGCTATTGGGCCGGGCCCTCGCCCTTGTAGACTCAGTGGCCGCCATGTAGTTCGGCACAGCTGGCCCATTTGAGCCCATCCCATGACGACACATGCCGCCGCCGCTCACTAAGCTCGGTGTGTGCGTCGCAGAGTAACATCTCTCTTCTTTTGGGCACCTTGGGCTGGCTGAACGCACCTTTAGAGGCTTTGGTTTTGAGGGAGAGGGTGTCACACTCATGAGTGAGTGGACATTGTATTGGGCTTTGTGGATTGGGGAGGAGGGGATATTTGGGCCGAAATGTGGGCCTGTTATGTGGGCCTTTTGGGATTGGTAGGATCTTCTAGCATTTGGTGTTGAGTAGGAAGAGTGAGGCGTAGAAGTGTCCAATTCAACGGTTCTTATGTTGGAGTCTCTTCTTTGATTATCAATTGTGTTGTATTCCATTTCCCATTGTTTTGTGGCCATCCATCGGTCAAGCCATTTTGTTCTCTCTTCTAGCTCTTCTTCATTCCCGGCTGATGGGTTCCTACGGGCTCTCCATATCTACAATTGAGAGAGGATATATATATATATATAT